TTTACCGGTTTATGCATGATTATTGCTTGGTTGCCTATTTGTGAATTCCGTTGATTGAATTCGTGTGATTAATTTGTAACCTGAAAGCATATTTACTTGCATTATATACCTGTGTTTCGTGAACGGATTATGTGATTGTTGTGCTTCATTTCTAAAATTGTTTTTAAACTCGGCATTCATATTTTTATATTGATCATCTGGAAAAAAAAATTTCAAAACCTTTTATGTTTTGTCCACCAGTACAGGCCACTCTTTTACAGAAACTGTAATGGGTTCGAGGGTCGAATTATCGCAATTCGATGGAAATGGGGATTACTTGATATGGAAACAGAAAATGAGGGCCATTTTGGTCCAACAGAGAGTTGCTAAAGCTCTCGATGATCCCGCTACAGTTTCTGATGAGTTAAAAGCTAAACCAACTGAAATTGAAGACATGAATGAAATTGCTTACAGTTCTATAATTTTGCATCTATCTGACAACATTGTGAGACAAGTTGATAGTGCTAAAACTGCTAGAACTTTGTGGATTGCTTCAGATGCCTTTTTCTTAACTAAAACTTTACCTAACAAAATATACCTGTTGGAAAAGTTGTTTAGTTTTAAGATGGACCCGGGGAAGGATGTCAAGGGGAATTTGAGTGACTTTAGCATAATTGTTAAGAGTCTAGCTCATAATGATAAAAAATTTGACGATGAGGATTTAGCTGTCATATTACTAAATTCTTTACCCGAATCTTACAGAGAAATGAAAAATGCCATAAAATATGGTAGGGACCCTCTCACTCAAGCTATTATTTCCGATGCTTTAAAATCAAGAGAACTTGAATTAAAAAGAGACAACAGAACTCATTTCCGGGAAGAGAGTCTATTTGTTAGGGGAAGACCTGAAAAGAAAGAGTTTAACTTCCATAACAAGAAGGGGAGAGGAAAATCTAAAATGAGATTTAAATCTAAAGATAAAAGCGGTAAGAAATGTTATCACTGTGGAAAGTTAGGACATTTCAAGAAAGACTGCTTCGACTAGAAAAGGAAACAAAAAGACCCGAACAATTCTGATGTTGATAATGTTGCTGTTGTTTCTGAAATTAATAGTTTGCATGTCATGAATGTGTCTGAGGAAGAATTTGACAAAAATTGGATTCTAGACACAGGGTACACTTTCCATATGTGCTCTGATAGGTCTTGGTTCTATAACTATAGAGAGACTGAACCTAGAAAGGTCTACATGGGAGACAATAATTCTCAAAATGTGGTTGGAGTTGGTGACATAGCCATCAAAATGTATGATGGGGCCGTCACGCAACTCAGAAATGTTAGCTATGTCCCAAATTTAAAAAGGAACCTCATTTCCTTAGGTTCTCTTGAAGATGAGGGATATACCTTCAAGTCTAGTAACAAGACTTTGAAAATTATGAAGGGTTCTCTCATAGTTATGAAAGGGCCTAAGAGGAATGATCTGTACTATCTTGAGGGTAGAACTGAAATACCAGTTGATTATAGCCTTCTTACTATGAGTAAAGACAAAACTGAACTTTGGCATAACAGAATGGGTCACATTGGGTTTAAAGGGCTAAAATCTTTAAGTAATCAGAAATTACTTGGAAAAGATGACATCAAAACTATGGAATTCTGTAAAACTTGTGTCTTAGGTAAGTCCCATAAGGTGAGCTTTGAAGCTAGCTCTCATAGGACTAGCAGACCATTGGACTATGTCCATGCTGATCTATGGGGCCCCGAGAAGCACTCCACATTTGGTGGAAGCAAGTACTTCTTGTCCTTAGTGGATGATTACTCAAGAAAGGTTTGGATTTATCCTTTGAAGGCTAAGTAGGAAACTTTTGAAAAATTCAGAGTTTTGTTAAAGTCTATTAAGAATCAGTTAGACAAGAAACTTAAAACATTAAGAACTGATAATGGGCTTGAATTCTGTAATAACGAATTTGACAACTTCTGTAAGCAGAAAGGTATAACAAGACACAGAACTGTTAAATACACACCTGACCCCGAGATATTATTACGGCGAGGGATGATAAAAAATCAAGAGCTCTGATTCCAAATTCTCTCGATCAAAATGGGGTTGCTGAAAGAATGAACAGGACCATAATGAACAAAGTTAGGTGTATGTTGATTAGCTCTGGCCTTGCGAAAGGTTTTTGGGCTGAAGTTGCAAGTACTGCAGCTTATCTGATTAATAGGTCTCCGTCCAGCAGTATAGGGTTTAAGACCCCACAGGAGTTGTGGACGGGAGAGCCTCCAAATCTAGAACACTTGAGGGTGTTTGGATGTGCTGCATATGCACACCAATCTGAAGGGAAACTTGAGCCGAGGGCTGTCAAGTGTGTGATGTTAGGGTATCCCGAGGGTGTGAAGGGCTATAGGTTATGGGTTTTAGGGGTCCAAGGCATTAAGATTATTAACGGCAGGATTGTAGTCTTTAATGAATCTGAGATGCCATGTCTAAAATAGAAAATCGAAGAAACTAACAAATCTGAAACTGAGAAGAGTATTCAGACTGAGGTGAAGCTAACTAGGCTAAATTCACCTACACCTGGGAATGACGAAAATGACCCTATACATCATGAAAATGAAAATGAAATTGAAATTGAACCTGAACCTGAAGAGGTGACTGAACTTCAAGATAACATTGAAACAGGTGAAGTTTAACATTTTAATGATCAGCCACCTAATCAAGATTATCAGCTTACTAGGGATCGGGGGAGGAGGCAGATCAGGCCAAATCCTAGATATGAATCCCTAAACTTGACTGATTTTGCCTTGGTTTCAGGTGAAGCCCTTGAACAGATAGAACCTGTTAGTTATGAAGAAGCTGTTAATGGAAAATGTTCTAAAAATTGGCTAAAAGCTATGCAGGAAGAAATGGAATCTTTAATGGAGAATAAAACTTGGAACTTAGTTAACAAACCTAAGGATCATAGGATAGTTCAATGTAAGTGGATTTACAAATTGAAAGAAGGAAATAATCCTAGTGATCCCCTTAGTTATAAGGCCAAATTAGTGGCGAAAGGGTTCACTCAAAAGGAGGGGGTTGATTACAATGAGATATTCTCTCCTATGATAAAGTACAAAACAATCAGACTGGTTTTGGCATTGGTTGTTCAGTTTAACTAGAATTGGAACAACTAGATGTCAAGACTGCTTTCCTACATGGGAAATTGGAAGAGGATATTTACATGAGTCAACCTCAAGGTTTTGAGGTGAAAGGTAAAATAAACTGTGTGTGCAAATTAGAAAGATCTCTGTATGGGCTTAAACAAAGCCCTAGACAGTGGTACATAAGGTTCGATACCTATGTACTGAAGATAGGTTTTAAAAGGAGTGAATATGATGCATGCCTATACTATAATAATAGTAAGGAGGGCTGTGAGGTCTACTTGTTGCTGTATGTAGATGACATGCTTCTAGCAAGTTCAAGTAAGACTGAAATCACTAAGATGAAGAACCTTTTAAAATTAGAATTCGATATGAAAGATTTGGAGAGTGCTAAGAAGATTTTGGAGATGGTTATAAAGAGAGATAAGGCTGAAAATAGACTAATCATTTCCCAAGAAGCCTATCTAAACAAAGTCATAACTAAATTTGGTATGAATGGATCAAAATCTGTGAACGTTCCCTTAGCAACTCACATGAATCTTTCTAGTGCACATTCTCCTAAAACTGAGGAGTAATTTAGAGAAATGAGGAACATACCCTACTCTAATGCTATAGGTTCCGTTATGTTCTCTATGATAACAACCAGGCCTGACTTAGCCTATGCTATAAGTTTTTTGAGCAGATTTATGTCCAACCCTGGAAAGCCCCATTGGGCAGGTTTGAAATGGTTGTTAAGGTACATTGTTGGTACATTAAATCTGGGTCTAGTGTATGAAAAAAGATCTAAAAACCTTACTCTAAAGGGGATGTAGATTCTGATTTTGCTGGTGACAAGGATAGCAGAAAGTCCACCACAGCTTACTTTTTTACACTTGGTGACAATTGTATAACATGAAAGTCTCAGCTGCAACCTTTAGTTACTTTGTCAAGTACTGAGGCACGGTATGTTGCCATAACCGAGGCGGTTAAGGAATGTACCTGGTTAAAAGGAATTTTAAAGGAATTGAACTTCATGCATGATACACCTGTTATGTTTACTGATAGTCAAAGTGCTTTGTCGCTTTGTAGGAATCCTGTTTATCATGAAAGAACTAAACATATTGAGGTGAAGTATCATTTTATTCGTGAGAAACTGTCTCAAGGTGAAGTTAATCTTGTTAAAATTCACACTGAAAGGAATCCATCTGATGTGGGAACAAAAATTCTACCTGTAGGTAAATTTAAATTGTGCTTATCTTTATTACATATTGACACTGGTTAATTTTTCTTGCAGTTAGTGGGCGATGATGATGAACAGTTCTTCCATGTGCAAATTCGCAACCAAGAGAGAGTGTTATGAGAACCAAGGTGAAGAATGTGAGAATATGGTTCTCTTAACTCCATTTTGTTCAGTTTTATTATGGACCATTGGATGGGATCGACGGTCGGGATTTAATCTATTTGAGATATTTTTTGTTGCCTTGTCTTGGGGGAGATTTTTTGACTTGATGGACTTGATGGTTGACACAAAAGGCTCCCCCCACGTTTATTGGCAGAGAGGTCGTTTCTTCTCTTCTTAAGTCGACTCTCTCTTCCCTTTTTGCTCTCGGGGTTTCGGTTGAAGGGGTCCGGTTGGTGGGTTCTTTGCCTATTTCTCTCTCTCTCTCTTTGGAAGGTAATTTGCATTACATGGAGCTGTTCCTAAGCCTAAATCAGCCATAAGAGCAAGGAGAAGTTGCTGTCCAGATTCGGTCGAGATCAGGTTGTATCTTTCCATCTTATTTTCTTTGATTTTGCCTTGAAATCCTTTATTGATTGATGATTATTGTTTGATTGAACTCCAAGGATCCCAACATTCAACATAATCTATAAGTTAAATTTGCAACTATAGTCATTAAAAAGGGTCTAACGAATTGAAGTGAACGTTGACGGGGGAGTTGACGGCGGAGAAGTGGCGGTAGGCCTCGTCTGTCTGTTCGATAACGGCTTCACTATCAGTAACCTCCGTTACCGATTCCAACACCTTCTGCTGGCTCCGGTAGTATTCTCCTTTCTCCTTCGACTGCTGGATCATCTGGTTGTGGTGCTTCAACATAGACCTCCCTACCACGCTCTTCTCATCCTTCCCCATTATAGTTAGTATCAATATGCCCTTCTGAAATTCAATGTAACGAAGGGGAAAGATATCAAATACGCGCAAACGATGAGCATGGAATCCCTCATTTTATAAATGTAACTTACTCAGTTTATATATGTATCTGTATACGCTTTGCCCGTCGACGGTGTGGAGGAGGGATCAACTAATGGCGAGTATGTTTGAGAAAATTAAAATTAAAAGGGTAATTGGCGCAAAACGTCCCTATGTTTCACCTTAATTGTGGAAAATATTCCTATCTTTCATTTTTTGATATTTTTGCCCTCAAATCAACCTTTCGTTGCGATGAAGGTCCTTCCATCCAGTTCCATTCATTTTGCCGTTAACTAAAGAGAGAGAACCATTTTTTGTCCAGTCAACAGGGGTAAAACTGTCACACCCATTGAAAACCCTCATTTTCTTAATTTCCTTCTTCACACTTCACAGCCCGAACGGCTCCCATTCCACTCTCCCTCGGGTCTTCAAAAATTCTCATTTATCTTCCATTTCAACAATTATTGCTCCATTCTCCTCTCGTATGGTCGCACACCAGCAACCGGCATAGTGGAAGCTTGCGTTAGGAGTTTGTCCAGCGAGCGACGTCGTGTAAGAATCATTACTTTTTGGGTATTTTCGTTTTCCATTTCATATTGTGGTGCTTTGCATGATTAAGTGTACTAATAGGGTTTTGATAGTGTTTATTGTTGTTACGTAGGCCTTCAAGGAACAACATGTTTCTTCCATATTTGAGAAACCCCGACGACGAACGACCCAGATATGGTATGTAGTTCATCCCCTATTTTTTGTATTGACTTCTCTGATTCCAGTGTGCATTCACAAAATTTCGGATTGGAATCCCCCAATTTATATCTGTTTTCTGTCGCTGTTCGTATTTCCCTTTGGCATGTATTCGTATCCGTTTTGTTTTTTTTTGTTTTTTTTTTTTGGTGTTGAGGTCGAGTTATGTCACTTTAATTATTTTCAGTGAGTTATAAAATTTTAGTAGAATGTTGTTAGTGTTGTATTTCTTACTATTCTGTTTTTGATGTATTTCTGTCATAGAAGATATCCATGTTTCAGTGTTGAGGTTGAGTCTATCAATGTCCACGTGGTTGTTAACATTATACGATTGAGTTATGTCCTCTTGCATTGAGTTCTATCAATGTCCTCCCTAATTTGTTGGTTGATTTTGATGTGAACTTTATACGATTGCTTACAAGTGGTAAGTCTGAATATTTTACTATCGAAGTACATTATAGAGGCCAATTTTATGATAAGCAAAACAATGTGGTTTATGAAGGGGGATCCATTCTTTTCGTCGACTTCTTTCATGCTAAATGGTGCAACAGAGAGAATTTGCGTAAATTCTTACATGGGACTTGTGATGAAAGTGTGTTAGAATTTTACTATAAGAAGCAAAAAAGAGCTTAGGGAAGGGGTTGATGAGACTAGAGAGTGAAGAGGATATTAACGGAATGCTTAGGGATAGGGATGGACGTCCAGATGTGAAAATATATGTTGTAGCCCGAAAGCAATCATATGCATTGCCGTGGAATCCTTCACATTCACAAGTTGATGAAGACTAACCATTTGAAGGTTGTTATATCCCTTCAGTTGCTGAAAACGAAGGAAATGAGCCTGAAGATAGTTGGTCAGATAAATATTTTGATGAAAATGCTGACGAGTTGTGGTGACAATACGAGCAAACCTTACAATACCAAAACGAGGGAGATACAAATGTAAGTGATTTGAATCCGGAGAAAGATCAAAATGAAGAAACAAGGGTGGAAGAAGAGAAAGTTGAAGGTTTGGTGGAATCCGATTATGAGAGAGAGCCGGAGCCTGTAGATAATACTGAAGTAGGGAGTGAAAGGGTTCATTTTGATTTCGGATTTGGTATGTTGAATGAGCAGCTTGTTAGAAATTCAGATACCGACTACGAGGACTCCGATGATTTACGAAGCATTTATAGTGAAGAGGAAGGTAATAGAGCTTCAAAAATGAGGGCTTCCAATGATGCTTTGAATGTGGGGACAAATATGGAGGATCCAGTGTTCAAAACAGGTAACTTGAACATTATTCTTTGCTTCAAATTTAAACTTGCTTATGTACTTTAGTGTCATGAGGTCTGATATGCATTAATTTTTTTTGATTATGCAGGCTTGATATTTGAGTCGAAGGCCGTACTAAAGGCTGCAATCACCTCACATTCAGTTACAAACAGTAGAGAGATTAAGTTCAAAAAGGATGATGCTCGTAGATTGAGAGCCAAGTGTAAGAGAGATTGTCCGTGGGTGTTGTATGCTACAAAGGAGCATGGTAAGGCAAGTTGGGCGATCAAAACTTTTGTGGAGGAGCATACTTATCCCATGGTATACAAGAACTTCAGGGTGACCTCATCCTATTTGGCAAATAGATATTTAGCTGATTGGAGGGCTGAGCAAAACATGTCAGTCACTACATTCATGGAGAGGGTTAAGCGAGATGGTTTAGGTGATATCTCAGCCTGGCAGGTATATAGATTGAAGGAGAAGGCGCTCGAAAAAATTAGAGGGAGTGTGGTGGAGCATTACAAATTACCGTGGGATTATTGTGAGGAGTTAAAGAGGACAAATATTGGGACCATTGCATTGGTTGAGGGGCACGTTGGAGAATTTCGACAGTTGTATATTTGCATTGGGGCATTGAGAGATGGTTTTATTCGAGGTTGCAGAGGGGTGATTAGGGTAGATGGCTGTTTTTTGAAGACAGAGCTTGGTGGCCAATTGTTGACAACAATTGGTGTTGATGCGAATAATGGTATATATTCGGTGGCATACGTAGTTGTGGAGGTTGAAAATGGGGATAATTGGAAATGGTTTTTGGAGTTATTGGAGGATGATTTGCACATACATAACAGTCAACATTGGATATTCATTTCAGATAAGCAAAAGGGATTGACAAATGCAATTGGGACATTGTTTGAGAATTCGGAGCATTGTGTCAGACATCTATACAACAATTTCAGCGTTTGTCACAAGGGTTTAGCATTGAAGAACTGTTTGTGGGATGCAGCCAGGGCCACTACTATATCGCAGTGGCGTCAACACATGCAACGGATGATGGATTTGGACCCGACTGCTTATGGATGGCTTGAAAAAAAACTAGCTTCCCATTGGAGTAAATACCACTCTAAAGAGTGGAATCAGTGTGACATGCTTCTGACCAACTTATGTGAATAATTTAATAGCACAATTATGGCTGCAAGAGAGAAGCCGATCTTAACCATACTGGAGGATATCAGAGTATATTTGATGAGAAGAATTGTGGCCCGTAGAGAGTCTTGTGATAGGTGGACAACAGCAATTGGACCTAGAATTCAGAAGATTTTGGACAAAAATGGTAAACTTGTAAGGTTTGAGTGGGCTGAGTACACAGGCAATGAAAAGTTCCAAGTTCGCCACAATGTAGGGATTGTGCTACATGCTGTGGATTTAAGGGCACGAACTTGTACATGTCGTGGTTGGCAATTATCAGGAATTGCATGTAGCCATGTCATTGCCTCAATTGTATCTAGAGGCCTGAATGTGTTAGAGTTTGTGGATGATATTTATAAGAAGGATGCATACATGAGAACATATACGCCATCAATATCCCCCATCACAGGTCCGAACGCACGGCCTACCCCAGGTTTGAACCCTCTCACTCCACCGGTGTACACAAAGAGGCCTGGGAGGCCAAAGAAAAACAGAAGAAAAGAGCCTTATGAGGTGGCTTCTTCAAGTCAGCCGAAGAGGTCCACGCAGTCCAAGAGCAATGTCAATACTTCACAATCAACTTCAGGAACAACGAAAAGTCAACGAAAAAGATCGGGACTAATAATGACATGTTCGAAGTGCGATGAAGTAGGACACAATAGGAGAGGCTGCAAAGGGGCACCACCTCTAGCACTTTGTTAGGATGAAGCTGTCTGGCGTCTGCCAAGTTCACTTGTTATTTTTTGGCTTTTATTTTGTTATTTACTGCACAAATTGTCTGCATGTAGTGGATATAATATAGCACTTTAGGAACCTTTTTTGGTGTTTATGTACTGGGAGAATGTAGCAAGTTCAGGACTTATGTTGGTTGCACAGTGGATATTTTGCACATTTGAAATGAATTGTATCTATTTTTGCTTCAATTTTCGATTATTTTTGCTTCAGCAAGTAGTGGATATTTTTGTTTCAATTTTCGATTGATTGGTGGATGAATTGTGTCTCAGATTCTGTGATAGAATTGTGTATTTAAGGACTTTTGAGTTGGTGTGTATCAACAGGTGGTATACGGAAGAAAATAGGGAATTCTCTCGCCAAATTTTTTTTAAAAGTTAGGGACGTTATTCACAAATATTTCTAAAAGTTCGGGATGTTATTAGCAAATATTTCTAAAAGGTAGGGACTTTACTCGCCAAACTTTTTATAGGTAGGGATGTTTTAAACCAAAATTATAACTACGTAGGGATTATTAGCGCAAGGTTCATTCGATTCCCAGAAGAAGTGAACAAGACCCGTTCATCTTCACCAATAAGCTAAAATGGGTCATTCACCATTGAACTGATACATAGAATCGATACATACGTCACAGCAACCATTTTCATTCGATCTCCTCAATTTACCCCATGGTCACAATAAGCATAAACTAGAAATAAACATCTAGCAGTGATCTCTATAAATTGACCACCCATTCAATATATATCTTATTACATTTTTCATGAAACCCAACATAAAAGCAGCAGTGATGGTCGGATTTCACCACTATATATGCTCTTTAATTAATGACATTTTTTCCCTTATTTAATGTAATAATTTAAAATATTTTCACACCCATTTTCGAGGTACTGTTATATATATGGACTACGTAGAAGGCGGGAATAAGGGGTTCAATGGGAGAGACGGTTTTACCCCTGCTAACTGGACAAAAATTGGTTCTCTCTCTTTAATTAACGACAAAATGGATGGAACTTGGACGGAAGGGCCTTCATCACAACGAAATGTTGATTTGATGGCAAAATTGTCAAAAAATGAAAAGTATGGACGTTTTGCGTCAATTACCCAAAGTTAAAACTATCGTATTTTCGTCGGAGTGAAAAAAAATAATAAATAAATAAATAAAATAAAAAAGGAAGAAGAAGAAGTTTGAGGGTTAATAATGCCAATGGTCACTGAAGATTGGAGTAAATTTTAAAATGATCATTGAATTAATTTTCTTATAGTATTAACGAACGAAGTTTTTAACTATTACACTAATGATCACTCGAATAAAACTAAAACCTATACAATGCTATTAAATAGCAAAGGGACACAAACGGCATTCTGTATTGCACCATTTAAGCCTGATTAATTACATCAATCATGTTTGGAATCTGAAGTAAATTTCAAAATGATTACTCGACAATTTTTTCAAGTAGCTGCCCTTTATTTTCAATCATTTTTGTTCCCTCCTCTATGTATTAGAGGGTCGACCCAAAAAAAAAAGCATACAATCCGACTTTTGATAAACGAATCCACAAATTTAATTCTGAATTTAATGCACTTAAACTTCAAAAATCATGTAGACCCTATTACTGTACTAATGTTATCTCAATGTTTTCACAATCCAATAACCAACGTCCCGTGTTAGCTTCGATCCACAAACTTCATTATTCAGCTCATTGCATAAGTAGCATTCGGAAATTACTAAGATTCGTGAGTCGAACTCTATTACTATTACTTGTGCGTCTGTAGAACTAGAACCTTAAATTAGAGGGAAATGGGTATTTTATAGAAGAATGATATAGGAAAACACATTGTAAGGCGATGTCTAATTTATTTTTTAATTGAAAATCTTATATCAAAGCCTATTGGAGGAACATGGGAATAAGGGTAACCAATAATTTGGGAAAGAAATTAGGAAGAAAACAACGTATAATGTTAATTTATTAATCGAGTGACTATTAATGTAATAATTAAAACTTTTAGTTATTAAAACTGTAAGAAAAATATTTCAATGATTATTTTGAAATTACGTCTAAGTTCAGTGACCGCTGGCATAATCTATCTCAATAACGTGGCGTAATACATAAAGTTGTTGTGTCTACATTGACATATATTAATATTAATGTTTTAACCAATTGATATTAGTGTAACCATTTGAAACTTGAGGGACTCTATGCAAATTACGTCAATGATCATTTTGAATTTTTCTCAAACTCTAATGACCCTTAACCTAGCTAACGTGGCATAATATATGACATCATTTGTGTCCACGTTAACATTTAGTGGAGTCACGTAGAAATTTAACATACTTTTAACCAAGTGATCATTAGCATGACCATTAAAGAAAATTCAATGACTACTACTGTAAGAAATTATTTTCTTGACTATCTTCAAAATTTAGTCCAAATTTTAGTGACGACAGGCGCAATTAACCTAGTACTAGTTTGAGCCCATTTTAAGTGAAAGAATGCATTTTTAAATAGTGATTGATGGAAAATGTGTAGTTAAAAATTAAAGAAAAATTTTGGATTTATGTGTAATGTTATTTTATTGAAGGATATGTAGTTAAAAATGAGTTTTGAAAAAATGATTTTTTGAAAGAATGGGACTTAGACGAGGGACTAACATGGTCATTCATGCTTTTTTGAGCAATTTAGTCACTGAAGTTTTATAACAATTTCACCATTAGTCACCTCAATTGACCAATCTCACTCGGGCCAGATTGTTGACCGGTGAGCAGGCTCTGCTCAGCCTACGGCCCCAACTGGTCAAGGATATATTTGGGTTGAGTCCACCAACCTTTATAACCTTCAAAAGTAAGGCTTCAAATCCTCGAACCATTTGAATATGTAAACTTTGTTACAAAATCATCATTGTGAAAGTTCAATCTCGCTTAACCTTAAGTTGCGTTGGAAATGAAATGTTAAGAGCTTGTTTGGTAGGGATTTTGTTAATTGATTTTTGACCGTTAGAGATAAAATGAATCCTATTTGTAAGAGAAGAATTCAAAAATTACAGCTGAAATAGTGAAATAACGGTTAAAATTTTGATTTTAATTGACTTTTAATTGGTACCAAACAAGCACTAAGTGATTTAATAATTTTACCTCTAGCTATGATGCAAGAGAAAATTTTATGATCTACATTGATAATTCCGATCATGTTAAGACTCAGATTCATAGATTTTAGCAAATTGGGAACTCAAAACACACTTTTGAATGATGAGAATCCATATCTACAAGTACTGCCTATTTTTCCCCTTTAAGAAAGGACATTTGGAAGAATAAATATATAAAAATATTAAATACGGGATAAACAAATACGAGCCCAAGAACCAAGCTCGGTGTGGCTCACCGGCCTAAGAATCAAGCTCAACTCGACCTCAAGCTTGGTTTAATGAGGGCCTGAGTCGCTCATGGATGATGGAACTGAGCTCTCGCAAGCGGATGAGCGGCACGAGGTCATTGCCACTACAAGTCCATCCATAAGTTTACTTATCTTCCATGTATCTTTCTTACATCATAACACCTCGTTTTGACTGTATCACACGATTTATCGTCGGAAAATTCCCAGAAACTCGATTACAGAGAATAAATAACACAAATGAACGAATAGAATACAATAACAAATAATCTGGTACAACAGACATACTCAATTGATCTCCCATCATTCCTATTTCAAGAACGCCCTCTCTTCAACTTCAAGCCCTGGTGACAAAAAAAAAAAAAAAAAACACAACATCTTTTCAACTTCAAGCCCACTGGTGAAAAAAAAAAAAAAAAAACACAGCATCTTCTCACATAAAAGAGCCCTTTTTGTACAACAGACTTAAAATGGCAGTCCTGTGCTATTATCTAGACACTAATGATCAGCCTGGGGACTAGATTTTGAAGGCTTTATGCTATTCCCGTTCAATTTGGTTTATCCTTCATGGGCTTTTGGCCAGTTGGCGAGCTTTTAACAGCAGTTCGACTGAGTTGCCCAGTTGGTCGAGACCCCTGACTTAGACCTGGTTGACTTGTGAAGAGCCATAGTTAGCAAGACAATTAAGCGCATATTTGATAGCGTGCAATGTCAAGTCACAGCATAGTGTGATACAGAATCTCAAACAGGAGGCAGCTATTAATCCATGTATTAGAAATGCTGATAATCATGGATACGTGCGATAATCCGGAATTTTACGACTTTCAAGATTTCAATAGGATAAATATCAGAACTTCTTGTTGCATGCATCTCAACAAGTGTTTGACAAGTTGATTCAGAAATGATCTTGGATTTCATAAAGAGAGTAAAATACTAAGTTGCATAAATATCCAAGTTGGAGGCAAGAAAGACAGAGCATGATTGAAAGTTACTTTTAAGAAACTTTTTGTTGCCAAACATATTCAGATAACTCACATTTAGTTTCTAAACATTTGTTTTCTTCCTCAAAAGTAAAAAATTTATGCGGAAAAAAAAAAGTAAAAAAGTTATGTTGAAACTTTTGCCCTTAATGTCAAGAAAACAACTTTGTCCATTTTTTTGATGAATAAAAGAAATTATTTATCTTAAAACTTACTCATTCCTCACATGTAAACTAGTTTTATCTTAGCCAAACATGCTCAAAATGTCCTGTTATAAAGCAGGGACAGCTTGCTTAGCAGGACAACAACAATATTTGGGAATAAGGGAAAGCGTGAGAGAGAGACTGACCGCTGCTTGGCAGAGATAATCGCTTCTTTCCTTGTTTATCTGAAAGGGTGGATCTCTCTTTTGGATTGCTATGCGATCTTGAACCAGCAACAGGCTTAGAGGTAGTTTCCTCGACCAAGTCTTTAAGAACTGGTTTTGACCTTGTACTGGTTAATAGCACGCCTGGCGTTTCTAGCGCATTTGCTGATTTACCGGGTGAAGAGCTGCTGCCATCAGACTGTGATAGACCCCTTTTTTCATTTGAGTTCATGCTTGAACGTGATGGAACAGTTCTCTCATTTGCAATATTTGATGTTGATATCTTTCCAGTGGATATTAACTGGGTTTTGGCCCCTTCATTCACATCAGCCGATCTGTTCTCGAGAATCTTCACTCCATCTTTCAGATTAATGTCTAAAAAGCGGTTTTCCCATGGACGAACAGCCATCCATCTCTCCAACCAGTTCCAACCCCAGTTGCTTTTATCCGGTTCAAAACCAGCCAAATTTTGCTGTCTTGACCCTGCCTGCCACTGTTACACGGATATTCTATATTAATGCACATTACAAGTGATTTTAAGTCTAATTAACAGCAATAATTTATTCCCTATTTCCTCTATGGATAAACATAGTCTAATTAATGGCGACAATTTATTCCCTGTTTCCCTTAAGGGTAACCATAGTAGCTATGAAATGTAAGCATAAGATGTTTAACAAAAGCAATTCAGAGAGGATAAAGAATCTTGGATGGAGGTTTTCCATCATTATTCAATTTTCTGATGATTGCCTTTGATGAAGTACTCAGCATGATTTCGTGCAATTTAGTTAATAGCCAACGAACATAATGCTTACCTGGTTTGCCAAAGCATATGCCATTGCCCTCTCACGTTTAGCAGCAGCCTCTTGCCTCTTCAACAATTTGTTTTTAATTTCTTCGACAGATCCAACACTGTCACACCACCCATCCTGGAATAACAGACAAAAATCAGACACAATACTGAGCATAGGTGAAGTAAAACCCCTCCTGTAGATTCCTGATCATATATAGCCTGTGTTTGATTCCCATTTTTAGTAAAATACATTTTTTCCTCTCTTCTTTTCAATCACATATTCTTCATTAAAATAATATTATATGCAAATTTTAAAAAAAAAAAAAAATCTTCTTTTTTAACCACACATTCTCCATCAATTCACTATTCCAAAATACATTCTTTAAAAAGAATGTGGTTCAAGCACACCCATAATCTCCTAATCATAAACCAAGCCTCCTGCTCTAGATACCTAAATACATAAAACCTCTTGATACAAATTCAAGGGAGGAAAGGATAATTGTATTTTCAAATCAAGAATGGTTCAGTAAATATTTATGCCACGGTGAGAGTGAAATGTAATTAAAAATTATATGCTATAAAATCTTACATGACCACCTAATGGAATAATATTATCACTTCCAGAAAAATAAAATAAAATATTGACCAAAGGGATCTTACTTCAATTTCTTTAACGTGAGCTTCATGTTCAAGTTGATGTTGAAGCTTCTGTTGTTCTGTTTCACTCTCCAATGCCATACGAACACGCCTCGCTCGGACACGAGCCTGAACTCTTACTAAAGCTTGCATACAACGGAGTGTAATAGCAGCTTGCTTTCTTACAGCATGGCCCCTGACAAGAGCTTGAAGCCTCACCAATCCTTTTAAAGCGCGTAGAGCTCGTCTGGCCTGATAAAAAAATTCAACTATATAAAAACATTCAAGTTGTTGAAACATAGTATGATAGTACTGAAACCACTCTCTCCCTCGATAAACATGAACCCGATATCAATGATGGTAAAGTACGTGATTAAGATATTAACTTATTTCTTATAGACTAAAATAGAAGTACAATCTAAATCTGAGAAAAAAACTGATTTTTGCCCCAAACAGCACTCTAAATCAGATACATATCCCTACGTACCCCAGCAACATAAGAGCATACGATAACCTCTAATCAACGTAAATTCTCATATTATACAATTACAATATATAGAAACTATTACTTATTAAAAAGTGTCTGTCTTAACGTATGCATCATATTAAACTCACCAGTTGATTCTCCACTTCAATTAATAAAATTTACTCTCAAGGATTTTATTTCCATATAGTGATGAGGACATCGGACGACGTTTACTTATTTTATTTAAGCTTTATTTATTTTCTTGGACTATTATTTAAATTTGGACTTGTAT